ATAGTTCTGTGTCAAATCTCAGTTTGATGTAAATGCTCGTTATCATATCAAGTTCTCTCTCTCTCTCTCTCTCTCTCTCTCTCTCTCTCTCTCTCTCCAAATCACCATCGTGCCCTGCATCTTCTCCCCTTCCTGCTTCTCCTCCTCTTTCTTTCCTCCTCTGTCATGTGTGTGAGTGAACAGAGCCAGGGCTTCCTTATTCGAGTTCGTGCGTGAAAACTACAAGCTCGATGAATTCCACGATGCGCTCTCTTACCGCACGGGGGCGCTGTAAAGGTGGGAGTTGATTGGTCGTTGTGTACATGCATGGCCGCGACGTTAAAGAATTAAATATCAATAATAATTGATTAAAAAATCGTCATCGATCGACTTCGAACATCGTCTTGTGTGGTGATGTCGGCCGTGTGCCATTTAAAGCCATAATTTGCCTGATAATGATTTAGTGGTTAGTAAACCAAGTGAAATTATCGATTAAGAGATGTGATCGATTAAGAGATGTACGATTATGATTATTGAATGACGGATCGTGAAGCATTATTTTGAGCACATCCTCTCGAAATGTACTCGCATATTGTTGGTGCACAGCATTATGTTACAATGTGCTCAATCGGAAATATTGATGGATATAGCGTGGTCGGTAGATTCGTTGGTGTTGAGTCATAATGTCTATAATGTCTATCACATACACTATAATAACACATTATTATAATAACACACTATTATGATACATATAATGTCACTATTATGTACTCACTATAATACTATTATTACTATCACTATGGTATTACAGAAATTGCCCGCAACTATATGTATATCAGTTGTTAGTTAGTTTTAAATTTTATGTAGGATTGTTGACTGAATTAGCAGGTTTACACCATCGTTTATAGTTGATTTCGTATTACTATATATATACTTACGCGTATGTTGTTGGATATTTCCTTGTTAGAAATTATGCAGTCCCATTACGAAAACTCGAACCGTATAAAAATTATATATCGATATGTTTGCAGCTTGTCACTCATTCGTGCTTATGCAAATTAGTCACTCGTCCGACGGAGGAAAAATGTGTTATTTTCTAGACACGCAAAATCGCGATGTTGTGATGACTTGTATTTTAATTTGTCTATCGCGTTGTTGAATAGCACTTCAAGATTCGTCGAATGTAGATTCAAGTGTCGCCGGTGTAGTGTTAATTATTGATTCATGTTACGATGTTTTATTAATTAGTATATATATATAGTATATATATATAT